GCCTCCATGTCGGCGGGCGCTCGTGAGCCTCTTCCTCTTTGTGTTCCTTGTGCCCCTTGTGCAGAACCCCCTTGCGCACCCTCGTCCCGTAGCCTCCGACCTGGCTGGTTTTTGGGACATGCTTCAGTTGTCCATCGAGAACATTAGCCTCAAGTTTGATGAGCTGCACCAACTTCGCGCCAATAACTGGAGAGCATTCGACCCACCCGAGAGAAAGGTACGCAAATGCACCCGCGACAGGCGATGCACACGACTTGCGGTATCGCACCATGTCGAGAGTACTCTCGAGGAAAATCACAGAGGAGGACCGCAGCAAACGCAAGACAAGGAACACTTGGTCAACTACAAAGAATGAGAGCCGCCAAAATGGGGCCTTTCGAAAGAATCGGCAGAGATTCTTTTTTGTGTCACGGACCGCTCGAGGCAAGTCCAGAAGAGGGTGCGGTGGATGTTCTCATTCAAGTGACCCGCGGCACTGCTGTAAAGCAACGGCCCACGGAAACTGTTCATGAAAACCAAACGTTCAAACTCCAAATTCCACTGAACATCTGAGTAAGCATTTGAAACCACTGAATTATTAAATTAAATCATATTGTGGCAAATTAGAATGAAAGTCATTTGCATCGCTGTCCACGATGTGAAAGTGTACACAACACTGGCATGGCAATTTCCTGATGATGATTAAGCAAATATTTACAGCATGAGCTCCAAGGACTTTGACCTCACTTAACCAGAGTGACAAAGAGGGGTGGAGGAGGGAAAAAAAAATCAATAAATCAAGGATACCTTCTTGCTGCAAATAAGGGATGAACATCACTGTGACTGCAGAGCTCAAAGTTTGACTTGAGCCTCCTGACACTGCATGGTGGCTGCAGCTGCCAATCCCTAAAAATCAGAAACATTTATAAGCCACAGGTTCGTTCTCCCTTCTTTACTTGATGAGGATTTCACAATAGAAGATGTCTCATACCTGACAAAACACTCATTTTTTGGGTGACAACTGTTAGCTTTCCTTCAGATCCTGTAATCATGTACGTTGCAAAATTACAACATTATTACTGTATTATAACTATGTCAAATATAAAACCACAAAGAGAATCATTGAGATGGCTAATATCTATTTCACCTCCAAGAATCTTGAATAGGTGTGTGACAATGTCCTGTACAGCATTGCTGTCACTGCACTGTCGGGCCAAGTTCTGCAGTGCCTGGATTGCTTCGTCCATTAGCTGGGCATTGTTGGCTTTCAGTTGGCCTTCAAAACAAACAAACAAAAAAAGAGAGAGACAGACGTTACTGGTAACCATGTTTTTTTCGCATGTTTCAAATACATCTAGGTAAAATGTAAATGGACAAATGTTCAAAAAAAAAAAAAAAAAAAGAAGACACCCATGTTTAAATTTTGATTAAAATCCCTTACTTGCTATAGCCTTTCCAATATCCATGGCATACTGACTGAGATCAATAGTCAGGGCAGACAGCAGGCACGAAATTGCTGGTGAGAGATTAATTAGGAGACACTCCATTAGGAATTGAGGAATAAGAGAGTGTGTATTAGTCAGAGCCATGACAATCCAAAAAGCAGCTCACCCTGCATAGCATTCTCTGGACTTCGCAGCATTGTCTTCTGAATGCTGGGGAGAAGTAGCTCCTTGAATTCAGAGTGAGAGACGTGGCGCAACAAGGAGCCGCTTTTGTCGAGAATGTGTTGATGCGTTTTTGTCTTACTCATTAAGACCATCTTTATGTACAGGTCCAACATGGCCCCCTGCAAGGTTGTGAGTCTCGATTTATTTAGCGGTAAGTATAACAAAACACTGAATCTACAGTCCATAATATGATGCTAACAACTTACCTTATGCTTGTCAATTGTAGCTTTGTCCTTCTGAGATGTGCAAAAGTCCAAACACACACCCAGCATAGCTAGCGTTGTAGGGCTTGGGTCCAGACTCAACAGGGCGCTGATGTACTGATCAACCAAACCCGGATTCTGGGAAAGAAGCCAAAATGTCAGATCTCAGCGGAACCCAGTGTGTACACGTCAGTGGAATTGATGATGTCTGACTCTTGTCTATGAGTCTTCTACTCACTCCCTCACAAAGATGAGTGAGATTCTTCAGGCTTGATTTCTGAGCAGTAGATTTGGCTCCACCCACTACTTCGCGCCCCCTCCGGCAACCTTAAGATCAATCAATAATTTTAATTTTAAGATGTCCCCCTCCAGCGGCACGCCAGCCCCATTCCTCGTCCTCGGCTCCTTCCTGCCACCTCCGTTTGCGTTGCTTTGTTTCCCGAAAGCACCAAGGAAGACCAAACGGCAAATGAATCGCTCGTCTCGTCTGCGTCTCCCTTTGATCCCTTCGTTCGTTTGTCCGAGTGTTGCGCCACTCGTCCCCTTGTTTTTCGCTGGCGTCCGCAGTGTTTACCCTCCCTCGCCCTCGCTCCGTCTGGCGAATAAGAGGCAAGGGGGGCGCTTTTTGCTCTTCCCACTTCTCACCGTGTAATTAGCATGCAGATATGCATCGCCTCGTCTCGCTTATTCCTTATTTGGAGTCGGATTAAACAAGTCGTCTTGATCTACGTGGAACAGAGCTTCTGACAAATGCTCTCGAACGTCTCGTCCACCTGCCAATGTGGAAAACATGACTCATCGAAGAATTTTGGGGCCCTTTTCGAACAACATTGGCTCACGCAACAGCCGGCGCGCTACCTCCAAGCATTGCACAACATTCAATGGGATGTCGAATTCCTCTCGGCATTCGAAGCTACTGCTGGCATGGTTGCCGAGAGCAAAACTCCTTTTCAAGCATATATGTTGGGTTTCGGTGTTCTTTGAAATATTCTGAAGCCCAAAAGACCATGAGGCAGCAGCTTTATTCATCATTACACATATGACGACAGCAATTTTCCACTGTGTACAAACAAAGGGCAAAGTTTGTTCCAACACATTTTTCCGCAGCCAAGACCATAAGCACGCAGCAGTCGATAGTTGGCCTTTTGCTGCACGATACAGATGGAAGGTCAAATTGAGGCCAGACGCGTTTGTTTTGCTGTCGGCCCTCTCACACACTCTCGTGTGTACATTTCGTGGCATTGACAAATTCAATGATTTGGAAAGAAAACACTCCAGTCGGGCATGATGGCAGTCATGAAATTCACGATGACGCATTTGCAGCCACGTCATTCTTCCACATGAGTAAATGCGGCAACAAGTGTGTCCGAGGGAGGGGTAGGTCGTGGTGGCTGTTCTCCCATGTCTCCCATGCTCACTCATGTTTTTGTTTCCTTGGCACCGGGCCAGCTTTGCCATCTGCTCTCCCCTTCCTCATCCCCCTTGAAGCCAATCTGCGCTACAGTTGCCGTCATGACGTGCCTGCCATCCTCGTGGCATACCAGAGACGGGGCACCAGGCACCCTTTACACCCCCCTCTTTCTCCTCCCCCTGCTCCTCCTCACGCTCTTCTTTCCACGCCCACTTTGCCATATAGTCCTCCAAAGGGTCCAGGTGGCATGTCGGGGCGCTCTCTTGTCGGCATTGGGACAGAAAACAAAAAGGGTGGTGAAGGATATACTGTACTCCATTCCACAATCTGCCGGGAGCCTGCAATGCTTCCTTTGCCCACAGACCTGTGGTGCTGGTGCTGGTTGTTGTTCTTGTTGTTGATGATGTTTCCCTTTGAGAAAGAGAGTTGAGAAGTAAATCCTCTCCAAATCTTGGAAGTTCTCTGGCTTTTGGTGTGGTTGAGGGGACCTTGGTACGTCTCTTACACACACACACACACACACACACACACACACACACACACACACACACATACACGCGCGCGTAAGATGCTGCACTGCTTCACTCAGAGCTCACTGCCATTTCATCCGCCCGCTTCCTCGAAAGCACCGGGAATGCCACCGGATCTAGCAGAGACTCACTCATGCTCACGTTTGGATTTAACACCAACGTGCACTTGCCCGTCGTTGGAAGCTGCGGGAACGCGAATAATCAATTAAGTATTGATTTCTTGTACGATTTTGTAGATTTCAAAGACAAAGCGGGTAGCTTAAGGAGCGCCGCGAGCACGAGGAGCCGCAAATTAGCTAATAAACACAGACGGGGGGGAGTAAACGAAGGCAAACGAACGAAGCGTCTGTCATTGCGTTGATATGCTTGTTTTTTTTTTTTTTTGTGCCCCTCCAGATGAATTAACGGCATGCGTGACGAGGGTTTCCTACGAAGAAGATGCGATGGCAAATGGGTGCGCAAGGGTTAAAAGCAAGCGCTCCAGGAGGAGAGAGAGAGTGACTGAAGGACTGGGTAATTAGGCGGACCGCAACTCACGCCTCATCAGTATGCGGAGTATGCAAATTAAACGTCTGCTTCTTTCTTTTTTGTGGAGGATCAGAAGGCAAGCGCCGCAGAGAAGAATTAAGAGCAATTATTCTCCCCCCTGGAAAGGCTGCTATATGCAAACAAGGGACGGAGAGCAGAGCTATACAATGGACCCCGATGTAAGGACAGTTAAATATAATCACACGAGTGCAGTCATTCCTTCCTCGCGCCCGGGAGATTCTTTTGCACTCGCTCTGGAGCTAATGAGTGGGGGGAAAAAAAAACGGCAATCAGACATGCACCTTCGTTCCCCATTACGCCGTTCTGCGCATATTGATGCGCTGCCTCATGGATGATTATTACCTTTTGGAATATTGCATCGCCAAACGAGCCTCGGAATAAAGGAACGGGAGGAATGGACGGGAATAAGACAAAAGAGCGGAGGTATGCAAAGGCGCTAATGATATTCAGAGCGCTGACGGCGTGTCATCTGCATGATGACAACGGCCAATTACAATGAACCATTGGCTCTCTGCCGCAGATAAGTAGGAGAGGATCTGGGCAACGAGGAGGGGGAAGCAAAAAATTACTTCCCTGTCCCTTTCTTCTCAACGTGCTGCTGATTTGCTGACTCGTCGCCGTGGATTTACAGTAACGATGACTAAAAGGAAGAAAAAAAAAACCAAACACAACCGCCCGAGCTTCGTCCCTCAAACGGGCTAGAAGGCCAAAGGCGATAAGTGGAGCTCCGTGTTGAAATAATGGCCGCCGAGGATGGTATTCCATCGCCACGCCGATTCCGGTGGCATTCCTTCCCGCGCCAAGCGCCGCCGCAACGAATCTGTCGGAAAGCGCAAACCAACACACGAGCGCACAAACGTACGGCGCGATGTTTTTCCCACTGCGCCGCCCTCTCCCCTTCCTCATCACGGTACAAAATGCCTCCTATCCCCATTTTGCATATTCGCATGCCGCCCCGCCTGCCACAAAGGACTAAACAGCCATATGCAAAGCAGTCTGGCATCCCCTCTTACATAGCAATGAGGGGAACACTGAGCGGAAGAGCGCAAGGGAGGTGGGGTAAAACATGATTGGGCGAGTAAGTACAGGAAGATGGCGGCGATGGCGAGGGGGGCAGTCGGGCCACAGGGGATCTTGTTGGCACTAAAAAGCGGCACGTGCCGTGTTACCACTCCCACTGCGTGATGACGAAAAGGTGGGCGTGGGAAAAAAAAAAAAAAGACTGAGCGGCGGGGGATGAAAGGGAGGGTAGACGAGGGCATGTTGGCACTAAGAGGGGGCACGTGTTGCCTGAGGGAGGGGAGGGAGCGGCTCGGGTTGGTAAAAGGCAGTGGGAGCGCCGTAGAAATGCAAGGTTAGAAGGGGGAGCAGCACGGGCGATGATATGAAACACCCACCGCGTCTTAAGAGGAACCCGTTCCACGCTGAGAGGCCACCTGCACTACCAAGGAGCATCGCGTCATTAAAACGCAAGATGCAAAGGCGAGTCCCATCAGACACGACTCTCATACCCTCTAAGGGGATTAAACTACCCTACGGTGTCTTTGACAAAGCCTACCCATGCGGAAATTACCCACGTCTGCCTCCATATTTGACAAAGCCTACCCATGCGGAAATTACCCACGTTTGCCTCCATATACTTGTGAAACTTCACTGACATGCTGGTCATCGACGGGCACACACAATACCTCTGGAATCCTCAGCCCAAAGAACACTTTGAAAACAAAGTCAGTTTTTTTTTTTTTGAATGTTGTGACATTTGTATGGACGCCCGTTTCTTTGAAACATCACCGAGACATTTGATTTGACTTCACGACGCTTGATGGCACTTTTGTAAATGTGTTATTGTATTCCAAGTGTTGCCTCGACTGAAGCCGCTCTTCTTAAGTGTTTCGCAGATCCTTCCAATTCCAAGCCACTGTGCCCGAAAAAATTCGCAGAGACTTTTTGACAAGGGCAAAAGTCATTGGGGCTCACTGACTGCACCAACAATGGCAGAGGGAGGGGTCATGTCACTTTGCCCGCTCCCAAAAAAAAAAAAAAAAGGAAAAGAAAATAGAATAGAAAAAACAGCTCGTACCGCTGATGGAAAGCTTCAGTGGTTTGGAAACTGTGACTTTTTAAAAGCGGGCTATACCCTGCCCCATGCCTTGTTGGAATCATCTTGGTTTTGCCAAATGCTCAGTCATAATATCACAAAAACTTCATGACTACGTAAAGACAAGTAAGAAAAGATGAGAGTCATTTTCAATTTAGATGCGCAGTATGAGGAAGATCTATTGAGCACGTTTGTTATTACGGTTGTGGTTTGCACCAATGCAAACCACAACCGTGTATGCAGAGTTCTTGCTGAAAAATGTCCACTGTCATTAGGGTACCCAAAATACGAGACACACTTTAGATGCGCAGTATGAGGAAGATCTATTGAGCACCGTTTGTTATTACGGTTGTGGTTTGCATTGGTGCAGGATGCAGAGTTCTTGCTGAAAAATGTCCATTTACATCAAAAATGTCCAAATGTCATTAGGGTACCCAAAATATCGCCACTCCCAACTCGATCTGAAACAGTGGGGATACTGTTCAAGTCATACCCTTCTGAACATTGTTATATTTGTAAAGGCAGAATATTCCACACAGCTCCTCTGGCTGTGCATGTTATCCGAATATTGTGGCTTCAGAACTTCATTAAGATTTTGCCTTGACTGTGTCATAAATGGTGAAATGTGTCATTGTTCATATTAAAATGCTGCATTGTTGAACTGTGATCCCCCCCCCGGCCCCCCACTAAAGTAACCCGGAGTACTACATGATACGTGTTTACCAAATGTGCTATGTCTACCAAAGCTGTAGAATGCTTGATTCGATTATTCACCCAAAATTAAATGTGCATGTGATGAGGGACAGCTATGTCGTTTTCAGTTAAAGATCCGCGAGTCTTCAGTGGCATGCGGCATCCGATGACGCAACACTGAGGCCTTTTCGTCATCCGCGCTGAATCAACGGCTGCTTTGAAGAAGACTCATTAGAGCAGCATCAAACACAATTTCCTGTTTGCAAATTGAATTTGCATCGTCGTTACTCATGGCAGTTAATGCCGTTCGCACCCCCTGAAATAGCAACGGGGGCTATTTTCAATGCTCCTTTTCACGTAGACCCTGTTGAGATAAGCGCCAAGAGTCCCTCTTTCTGATTTCCTTCTCCACCTTTGTCTAAATCCGGGACTGCGACAGAGGAAATCTAATGTTTCATAGCTGTCGGTGCAGAGGGTTGCGCGCGTAGCCTGAGGTTGCTGTGCCAAACAATAAACCATAATTTGATAGATGCGAAATTACTACGGTTCTTCCACTGAGCAAGGGTCCTCACCCCAGGCAGGGCAATACTGCGCCAGACAATGTGTCACATTTCTCTACAAAAGCGAGAAAAAGAATATTCTTTAAGGTTGTTCATTATGTATGCATGTTTTGGATGGAATCTCTCTGACCGTCATATGGAGATCAACAAAATGACAAAGAAACGCCCCGTTGTGAGAGCTGATGTTTAAAATGTAATAGCTGCTGAAGGTTGTGAATCCTGATTGATCGTTAAGGTATCGGATGCCCAACGCAGCAGACGATTGACTTTAGGCTGAAGGATTGGCACAAAGACGAAATAAGCATCCATTCTTTCATTCACGCCTAAGTCGCTGTACCTGGAGAAAAGCCACGCACGAAGAGATTTTTTTTTTTTTTTGCATGGTAATTTTCTTTGATTCTCTGCAGCGCATGTCCAAGCACATCCTACAAAAGGAAACATTGTGCCCTCCTTTTGAGGCCACTGAAGCTGACATCCTCAGAAGGTGGTGATGTCATGTCAAATGAATAGCATTTATTCCTCAGTCATTTTATGATGTTGCCATGAAAGCTTCGATCCCACCCCTTCCGTGTACTGAGCATCAACCCCCCCCCCCCCCTCCCCTTTTCTTTTAATCAGATAGATGTTAAGAAACACGCTTGCCCCCTCCTCCCCTTTGTTCTGGTCAGTGGGCTCATGCAATGTTTATTAGATTCAAAGTCAGTCACTGCGACGTTAGGAAGGGCGGAGAAAACATAAAGGCGAGGGCTGTATCACCGGCTGTGGCAGTGTCTTCACAGCAGTTCTTATTTATTTATTTAGATTGCAAATTGAGACCGAACCACACTGGAAGGTATCAAAAGAGGGAAGGAACGGACGCGCCCGTGATTTAGAGCCGCAGGACAGTATTTATGATCACAACAGTTCAAGTGATTCCGGTGGGCCTTGTGGCCGGATTTGAGCCGTTTCCAAGCGAGGCCGGAATATGTACAGACAGACAAGTATATCCATATACAACGTGGAATTGATAAGCAGCAAGGGAAGTGCGGGCTGGGGAGTTCATCGTTCTGGAACACGTGACTTGTCACAGAGGGCTTGTGTGATGTGCAGCATAGTGGGGGCTGATTGTTGCCACATTGTGACCGGAATGATTCACTCGGCCTGACAATCTCATTACCGCTCCTTGCACAGCACAGGCCTCCATTCTATCCTCGATCTAATCACACCGAATGCTCAAATAAAACTATATGACCTCACCGAGAAAAGTGCGGCTTCTGCTATTTAATGATGCCATTGCCGTATCAACATGTTACTGCTTTGATTGTAAGACTCGTTTGGTCAGGTTTTGTGATTCAAAACAAGGCACGCAAGACACGAGAAGAGCCTACAGAAAGACGGGACTGCTTCACGAGGAGGGCTCAACTTCTGCAGTGAAATGCTTCTGAAGTCATTCAATTCTGAATCTTCCTTTTCCGCTTTCAAATTGAACCTCACCGGCAATGTTTCTCTGACGTCGATGCGACTGGAGCCACGGAGTTGTGCCCAATCGATAGCACCCTCTCCCGCTTTGCCTCCAACCTTCAGCTGCGTAGTCCACCTTTCATCAGGCCGGACCATTGATCCTCGGCTTGGCAGGGGGTCCTTTCACAAGGCCGCCTAATGTCCTCATTATGTGTCCTGTGTGAGATGACGGGCTAATTATCATGCGATTAAGCAGCGAAGCAGCGAATCTGTCACACTTGAAGGGGAACGTAAGAGTCCAGATCTTCAAGGTGATCCCCGAAGGGAAGCAGAATCACCACTGGAGGGAAATCGCACCAACAGATGCAATAATTGTGCGTTTGATGACGTGTCCAGAACTGGATCTTCTGATTGTCATTCCCGAGGCCTTGTGTTTTGGCGGGAGGGTGCGAAGAGCACAAATCCCAAGGTAATCTGAAGCACAAAGCCAATGTCATTACAGACACGGCGGGACATTATTCTAAAATGGCAAGTGAGGCAGTGCTGAGACAGTAGATAAGGGCCGGAGAAAATGTGGAGTAAAAAGGAGAGGGTGAACGCTGGAATTTGTCATGGCCTGATAAAAACAGGCAAGCGGGCAGGCTGGAGGACGCCGTGATAGCACCGGCTTTTTTTCTTTTTTCCTCTTCTACCCCCCCCCCCCCACGCCCCCTCTTCCTTTTTCCTGCCTCTTTCTCTCACTACCCACTCTCCGTCTGAGGTTTATCTGACACGCGATGAATACAGCAATTTTATCTGAATAGACAAAGAAGCAGTGACATGCAGGCGCACTCTGACGCTTGACCTTGAAGGATGAAAGAAAAGATGCAAAGGGAAGAACGGCAAATGACTACAATCATGATGGCTTCCGTCGCCTTTAAACTCCGAGCTTAATGGCATCTCATCTCATCATCGCCGCATTATGTTTTGTGTCGTCATTTTAATCCGAGATAAGGATCACTTTTGTCATGTTCTACTGGTTAGCACCTTCGCCTCGCAGTGCGGAGGTGCGGGGTTCGATTCCTGTGTGGAGGTTGCATGTTCTCCCCTTGCTTGTGCGGGTTTTCTCCGAGGACTCCACTTTCCCCCGCATTCCAAAAACATGCACGGCGGGTTAATGGAACACTCGAAATTGTCCCTAGCTGTGAGTGTGAGCGCAAACGGTTGTTCGTCTGTGTGGGAGAGGCTCCGGCACGCCCGCCACCCTCCTGAAGAAAAGCGGATTAGAAAATGGATGGATGGATGTCATGTTCCGATTCGTACCGCAGAGGCTGCAAGAGAATGTAAAGTTGCTGTGGAGGTACGCAAACAAAAAAACAAATAGATATCAAGACTCAAAATAACACATTCAACACTTGATTTCGTTGATTGTGAAAGTCACGGCTCGGTCTTTTGTCAATCGACGCCATTGCGTGGACATCATAGCGCCGCAAGTGTTGACGCGGTGATATGTGTTCCAAATAATCAAGCGGAGCCGAGGTTGCAGCTGTCGTGCATGTCGTGAGCTTAACGCTCTGTGGCACACCTTAGCTTTATGGTCTACAGCTGTACATCGGAGTGGAACGGGGTTATATGTGGCCCACAGCTGGCATCTGTTCTTGAGATGCCACATCACCTGCAGCGCAGACTTGACTTCTGACCATATCAATTAACAGATATGTTCTGACTTGGCTCTGTAAACAAAAAAAAACAAAAAAAAAAGAGAGAGAAATCAAACTATGCCTGGCATGTCACGTCGGCCTACAAGGCAAAAGCATTGCACGAGCAACAATAGCAAACTTTTTGGAGATGCATGTTAGCAATTTTGAATGTCGGAAAGTCTTTGTGTCTCTGAGCTCATTTGGGGAACAGGAAAGCAGTCATTTCACAAATTTGGGCTGAGGATCAACTCATTTTGCAGTGACTGCATGGGAAATCAAGGCAGAAAACAAAGATTGGAGGAAATGTGCATCTTAAAATAAAGGTCTCAAAATGCTTTCACTTGAAGATGTAACCATTTTATAGGGCAAAATACCATGAAATACTCCCCCCCCCCCCCAAAAAAAAATATTTTAGAGAGTCAGTGGGAGCCATAACTAGCATTTAGATTGGAGGGAATTCCTAATAAGCACACATCTTGCTTGTCAGCTACTGTCAGTTGTTCACTTTTGCACGGACGGAAGGCTTCTGGCTTGATTCCGTAATTACTGTGGAGGTGGAGAGGAAGGATGGCTGACGTTCGTGTTGACATGAGGCATACAATGTGACTATTTCTACAAAGGTATTCTGAAGTGGAAGTCGGCAAGCGTATTTTCAATAAAGCGATAATCCCTCTTACAACCGCAACCTTATTACAGGTAAATCCGGGTCATTGAGAAAATGTCACTCCTCTCCGACTGGAGGTCTAATTTGAGTCTGTTGATGAAGGCAAAGTCTTTGGTAGAAATGCAGAGCGCCGCAAAAGTCAACTTCTTTTTTTCATTTGTTATCTCCAATAGCAAGCGAAGGAGCCTCGGGATGAGGCTGTTTCTATTTTACGCCTTGATTCCAAACAAAATTCCCACGACTGATAGAAGGTATCACTCATAAAACCCGTCCTCAATGAAAATGGTGTATGGTAGCCATTGTTTTTCAAAGGCAGGATATTTGGAATTGCCGTTGCAGCCTTTTGGCTTGCTTCTTTAGAATCGCGAGCGTCTTTCCCCCGGACTATTTTGTCGTAAACGTCAATGTCCGTAACTGCCAAAAAGTGAGCGCTTCTATCCAGACAGTGATCTTTTAATCTGCTAATGTGAGGGCAAGAATAATCCCACATCTGGAAGTTCTACCACAGCGCGTAATTGCTCCCCCAATCGCTCCTCGGGCTCGGAGAAAAAGAATGACCTGCATTGAGTCCCGCCGCGACATTTAGAGGGCATGAAATTTGCTCAATTTCAAATGACTTGACGTTTCCCAACCAATTTGTTTTTCCTCGCGCTGTTTATTGACGTTTCTTCTAATATGAAGACTGCGCCACACATACCCACAAGTGACGGATTCATAGTTTTCTTTTCGCCGTCGCTCTCTTCCTCCATTTTTTTTTTCATTCCCTCTTTCTCTTTCACTCTCCTGCCGGATTTCATCTTTGACAGGTGCTTCCTGTCCGCACGTTGACGTGAAATTAAACACAAGGCCAGATGTGAAGTTTGTCTGTTTCAGCAAAGACACAAAGGAAAGCATGTTTCTTGGGCACGGCTCCCATAAAGGGCCGCCGTCAGCTTTCCCTGAACCGTGTCACTCTTCAATCAAAATGTTTGATGATGTAGTCCATTTTCCTCAAGCCGGCGCATGTGCACAGGTACGGCCGCTTCATCTTAACGTCCATTCATCCATTCATTTGATTTCGTTTCGCCTTCAAAGTGAGTCCAGCTTAATGGCATCACAAAGCGCCTTTCAAAGAGCAATTAAATGCGGTCGTCTACAAGATGTGCTTTTCAATTCTTGCCGTGCTTTTGTCGTCCTTGTCTTGCGCGCGCAGAGCGAGAGAGCGCGAGCGAGAGAGAGAGAAACCTGGGGAAAAGAGAAGCATGGACAGAAATGGAAAGGTCAAGAGTGATGGATGCTTTGTGTGGGTCTGTCATTCCCAATTACTGAACTTTGCCTTCGAAAGCATCGCTTAGCTGCATTTCTCATTTCTGCCTTTCTGACTGATGAAGAACAGGCTCTGACTGGGGGGCGCCGCGTGCTTTAAAGAGCGCCTCACTGGTCGCTCGCTATTTACTTCAGATGCAACACGGCGCAGCCGCCGCTCCTACGCAGTTCCGCTTCGTCTTTCTTGATCGGTGTACCGCCAAGTGTAGACGCTTCCCTTCTCTCTGATTGGTTCCTGGCGAACCGACTGACGCTATTTCTTTGAGACGTTCAAGTTACTGAAGCGCACCGCCGGGAAAACTTTTGGATTCCACTCAACAACTGTATATATTTAAAATTCTGTTATCACCAGAACTGAGCGGACGAGCCGATGCACTGTGACACTCCGCAGACGCGGGCGGAAGAGGAGCTCGGGGAGAACAACGATGTATTCGACACAGAGCAGACGCAATGTTAATGATAAAAAAAAAACAAAAAAAAAAACGAGAATACTCCAGCTACAATCCTCACCCCCCCCCACCGAACCAGCTGACTCCATTAAAATCATAACACATCTATTTTCTGCTCGTGAAAACCTCCCTAAGTGTCCCGATAAAGGTGGAGGTGCTTTGTGAGGTCGGTCCGAGGAGAGCTTTACGAGACAAGCTGCGCTGATATATGACTCGTCGAGACTCCATTAAAACCCTGGGACTGCGCCATTGGGGAAAATGGAGGGCACTCATGCTCGGGTCACAGGACATCTATAAAATCAAACTTTTTCTTAATATCTGCTCATACATCAACAGTCCCCTCCACCTACAGTTGAATTTGAAACAGCAGGGCAATGGTTGAAGATGATCGTTTTTCAAGAGGTTGAGGCGGGAATGCCGGATGTGTAATGTGCTTTGGTAATGGCTGATGTTTAGCCTCTGATAAATGGACCTTATCACCAATGCAGAAGGAGAAAAAAAGGCCACAATCTTGGTGGGACGTGAACAGGTGGCACGGTGTGCTCTTCATTCCTCACCTGCCACTGCTGCGATGTCATTGGATTCTCTTGTTGGTTCCGGGGCAGCACGGCGGTCGCCGGTTCAGCACGTCCGCCTCTCAGTGCAGAGGTGCAGGTTTCAATTGGTTTTGTGACAGACCGAATGGTCAGCTCAAAATGATGTATAGAGATATATTTTTACTTCTGGTTATTCACCAAAGTATTTCAATCCAGTTTTGTCGTAACACTCTCTACCCATAAGACATAAATGCGAATGGGTTCACTCTTCTCCTCCTCCTTCGTCTTCTTGTGTGTTCAAGCTAAAGCGTGTGTCCTGTCTGTGTACCTGTGGCTGCCAGCTCCCTCAGGGGGCCCATTTCCAGGCTTCATTTGTTTGAGGGCTTTCTAATCCGGGGACCGAAACAACCTCAGTCCACCGTGCCCTCGTCAATCACCGCTGGAAAAGAACGCGGTGGAGGTGAAGAAGGTGCAGCGAGGAGAGAAGAAGACTTGAGGTGAGAGCATGATTAGTGATCGGTCCGCCCTCTCGCCATCACCGGCCACGGCCATCTCTCCTCGGGCCAATACCTGTCGGTGTCCCCTGCTGTCTATGCATCCATCTTCTCATCGTATATGTTTCCGTCTACTTCTTACTCACCTCGGTCTGCATCCTCGGCGCCGGCCGCGCTTCTGTCCGTCGGTCCACTTTTCTTTCTGTCCGGTCGTCTGACCTCATCCCCAACGGTGGTCCCTTTCATGAGTGCGGACAAATGAGGTTGACCTTTTATTGTAAAACAAACACCCGTGGCGAGGGATGAAAGTGCCAGTGTGTAAATTAAGCACAGAGAGAACAGAGGGAGAGTTGGAGCAAGGGTGGGAGGCGGAAAACTTTTTGAAGTTGTCATAATTATACAACAGTGTATGCGTCGGACTCGCATGGTCACCGTTCAATAATAAAGTCCCCTAACCCGGCTGGCGGCTATTGATGAACTGTGAGGAGCGGACCTCTTGAACGTGCCCTGGACCCATCAGTGTGGGATCATGAATTATAAATGGCTTTGACAGCGGAGGCCGGAGTCCGCCCACTAATATTGCACATGAAGGTCCGTTTGGATTTTGATTATTTTTATTCCGAGGGCTCACAAAAGGCCAGCGGACTGTTGGTGAATATTCAAAAAGGGCAGACTTTGATTTGGCCTCTAATAGCTTCTTCAAACAGGTTTTGACAGCCT